TGTGTGTGTGTGTGTGTGTGTGTGTGTGTGTGTGTGTGTGTGCGCACGCACGGGCACTCATGTTTCTCGAGTGTTCTTGTGTTTCTTTCGTATGTGCTCTGGGTACTACATGCTCCACTGCCTTTCCCTCCATATCAGGGGCTTGCCTCCTCGTTATCTTCTCTTGCTCCCCAGCCGAACCCTCCGTCCGTCTGTCCTCTCCTTTGTATTTTAGTGTTTTTTTTTCTGTAACTGCTGGGGGTGCATAATAACGGAAGGTAGTTTTGGCGTTTGCTGGGTGATCGTCGAGTACGAGAGCATAGCAACTGCAGAGTCGCAGGCTATTCTGCGCAATCCGCACAGACAGAGAAGATAACATTACTGTAATACGGCTGATACCGTCTAGCATTCCTACCCCTTTTCCACGCATCGTCAGGTTGGCATTTAGCAATGGCATAACGTCTCGTACCATACAAGACTTCCACAAGGATTCTGCGAACACGAAGCCAGAACATAATCCAAGGACCATATACTTAAGCCCAGCCACTCCGTTCTGTAATATGAGAAGAAATACGAAGCGAGATCAATCACACAGGGTATAGGAGTGAGGAAAGGAGGAACCGATTCTTAGAAAGCACATCACGGATGAGAGACTACACGCGGCAGCGGGAATAGGGAAGAGGGGAGGATGGGTGCGGAAGGGGAGGGAAGACGACAAAAAGGAAGAGATAGGGGGAAGGGGAGGGATAGTGGAGGTGCAAAACGGAAGATTGAAGGAGGAGGAATTAGGAGAGTAAAGAAACCACGAACATAAGGCAGGCTCGATCTTCGTGCTGAACTTTGTGATGCCAACGTCGGAATTATGCATGATTCGAATCTGCATGCTGGGAGAGGGCAGATGCAGTCAAGCTGTATTGTCAGTGCACTCATGAATTCTAGCCGTGATCATAAAACGTTACCGTACTTCGGATTTGCAGTTCTGTGCGCAGGTTGATGCAGGAGCATCGTTTGTGCATTCAAGAGCAATTATCCTTTCAGTCGTGAACATCCTAATCCAGGACAAGCAAGAAAAAACTTAGGGGGAAAAGCAGTGAAAAAAAGCTTCGTGTTAAGCGGACAGCGGCAAAGCAGCCAAAGCTATGTCCGATCCAAACCGTTGATTAATCCGTTCTCTGTGCTAGCCAAGCAGCAGCCTTGGCAGATTTTAATCCGCCGCAGCGGCGGCCAGGCGAGGTCGAGAACGCCACCCCATGGTATGAAAAAAAAAAATTATAAAAAAATCAAACAATTCTGGAAAAACAATACGTTATGCCGAAAAATAAACTGAACAACATTTGCCTTATGGTCATATCCAAAAACTTAACCAAATTAGAAATAAAAAGACAAGTAAGCTCCATTGTTTTTCTCAACCAAATAATAAAATAAACAGCTCTTGCCTCAGGAAAATTCGTTTTTGAATTTTTAAAATTCAAAGACGAAGTCAAAAAAAATAATAAAAAATTGTGCAATGTAGATCTCAAAACAAAATGCAACATCATATTTATTATTATTATTTTTTAGAATGTTTTGAACCCTAAAATAATTCCTGAAAGTCGCGGCCGCAGCCAACCGCCGCCGGAGGGGAGGCGGGCGTGATCCGACCGCACGCAGATATTGACCCGGCGGCCGCTGCCGCGCTGATACATAGCTTTGGAGTAGAGCAAAAATAGTGGGGAGATCATCAACCCAAACCAGCTCGTCAACAGGGGGGGGATGCAGTTTAATCTCGTTTTTTCTTTTCTGGTTTTCGTCCATCTTATACTTCTCCTTTTTTCTTTTCTCTAATGACGAAAAAAATCTCTTGATTGAGACGCAACAAACGAAACAGATCAAAGGACCAGTAGAGTCATCCATGGAACCAAGTCCGACTCACTGGGAGCGTGATCACCTAGTTCTCGAGCATTTGTCGAAGCGGCCAAAGTATGGCCACGAGATTTCCAGACTGGACTGATCTGAACGACCGGGTCTCGAGAACTGGTCCCTCCCAAAACCTGTGGGATCTCGCTGCCGTTTATCGAGCTCCTATATTTGTTGGATTTCGCTTTCGCACCCATCTGTGTGCAGAATTCACTGACATGCTTTCCTTGAGTGCATGAGAGTTGCAATCCCAGGCAGGGGCGACGTCACGTGCCGTCTATGATCGTCAGCATGCACACAAACTTGAGGGGATAATTGGTGGAAAGCGCCCACTGGGAGATCTCGACACATAGTCTCGCTTTCACCAATCACCTGGATTGCGAGAGAGACTTTCCGCACAATCCATAGTCCGATGCGCAATCTATCATCTCCAAATCAGTTACTCAGGTTCCAGCTCCGACTACTTTCCTCTCTTCTGAAATGGAAACTTACATGTACTATGCTACCGAAGCCGCTGTGCCACTTGCCGGCTATGACTAGGAAATCAGCGAAGATCGACGGTCAAGATCAAAAAGCACTTTGGCAGCTTGGAGATAGCCGCAGTGGGACCGTCCCGGTTGCGTTGATTCGTCATAATATCTGTAATGGTTGATTAAATTTTGTGTGGCGATCTCCACGGTGAGAAATGAAGAATCAAGGTATGTGAGTGAAATCTCATCCATAAGGATGCCAGTGGGTGAATGGGTCTTTTCCAGCGACAAGCAAAACGGACAAGAATGCCGACAAATGAAACAGACAGAAACGAGATCAGAGAAAAACAGCAATGTGAACTATCCATCAAGCATGGCGACCAACTCTGACGTAGGAGAAGGGAGAGACCACTCCCGAAAGGAAATTTTGAACTCTCTTCTTCGCGCGGAGGCGGGGGGGGAAGGGGGGGGGCGTCGGAGGGGGGCAGGAGGGCGGGGCTTTGGCCTGGACGAGGGGAGGGATTTTCAGCAAGTGAGCAAATTGTCGAAGGAAGCTCCTGGACGATGCAAGGGGAAAAGCAACGAGGATTAACATGATGACACGCGCAAACCAAGAAATGGTCCACTCCACAAAATGGGGGCACAGAAAAGGTAGAACGGGAAAACGAGAGGTCGGTAAGTCGTTCCCCGTGACAACAGAATAAGATTCCGTTCGAAAAAAGAAACTCAGGGATTGAGTACTAACCACGTAAAGCACAAACGTTACAAATTGAAAGAGCGCCCTGAGAGCACACGAGCTCAGTACCTTGAGAAAAATCTCATTCTGCGAAATTCGAAATCCTTACACAATATGATACCACTAAGTCGTTTGAAAACTCCCTCCTCGTTTTCCTGGACGTCAATATTTCGGCAACACCAAGAAGAAAGAGATAAAGGCAGTCTCCGGGATCAGGTATCAAGGGG